TGCGAAAATAGGGATTTTACAACATTAAACCTGAGTCTGGTAGCGCTAGCCCTTAAATTAATTAATATATTATCTAGCTCACATGTTTATAATAATATAAATTTGATTTCATTATCTATATTTATTCCTTGATATAAGAAAAATAACAATGTTAAGTAATCTTGTTCCTCGTATAATACTCACATTATTTTATTATAAAATTTATTGTAATATAATGTCATTATTATTATTTATACAGGTTATAGATGGTGTCTTCTTCTTCTTTTTGTTTTATGTAATTAAAATATTTAATATATGTTAATATTATTTATTAATATAATTAATTTAAATTATATAAATAAATTTAAAGTAAAATATTTTGTACAAACATTTTACAAAATGTAAACATCTTTGAAATTCTATGCATTTATTAAATTATCCTTGATATAAATTCGAAATCATACTTGAATTCTATGCAATTAAAAATGCCTTAGGGATATTGTTACTGTTTTCTCCTACAAGTTGTGGTGGCGCTTCAGGGATGAAAAGTCACTTTGGGCCCAGTACTTTCGCGGCAAGTACTGCTCTAGATGCGCCAACCACCTTGTTGGGTGGCGACGTTGATCATGATAGCAGACAGTGGCGGCGCCTGACCAGTGTCGGTAGGCGCGCCCAGGATCACATCTTTTGGGTTTTGGGTGATGGCGAGGTTAGTTTCTGGGATGAGTGGTGGTTAGGTGATAGCCCGTTGTCTAGGGATAGACAGGTGTCGCATTCCCCCTACCTGCTTGTGAGCGACCTTTGGACGGACGGGTCGTGGGATAGGGGAAGCTTGATAGAGAGTTGGGCTCCAGGGCGGGTTTTAACGAGCATTTATAAGATCATATCCCCATCTCGGGGTACGGTTCGGATGGCATGAGGTGGAGACTTACATCATCGGGTGTGTTTTCTACTACCTCGGCTTGGGAGCAAATCAGGATGAGAGATCGGCTTAATCTTCTCTTCGGAGCCATCTAGAGCGACCTTTTCACACCTACCATTTCTGTATTCCTTTGGCGCCTCCTCCTGCGCCGGATACCCGTGGATTACATGCAAGGGGGATCTCCTTCCCCTCCTAGTGTGTATGTTGTTCTGAGACCGGGCGTCATGAGGCCGAGACCTTTACACACCTTTTTCTAGAGAGTGAGATTATGAGGAGAGTGTGGGAGTACTTTGCTACTTGGACCCATATAACCTACCCTCCACAGACAGTTTCTTTGAGCTCCTGAGTTTTTTGTCACAGAGCACACACCCTAGACACGTGGGCTTCCTCATTCCTTGTCTGATCCTTTGGTTCATCTGGACGGAAAGGAATAGTGCGAAGCATAGGGATATTACTTTTTTGCTTTCTCATATTGTTTTGCAGGTAGAGAGACATCTTTCACTCCTCACAGCATTGGGCAGGCTCACTGCCCGAGACTGGACAGGCTGCACGCCACCACACCGATACATGGTGGCCCCCCATCGCTTGTTCGGCACCCTCGGCCCAGAGCTGTTGTTTGGCTTCGACCCGACTCTCCTTGGGTCAAGCTGAACACTGATGGTTCTTTTGATCGCCATACCGACGCGGCCGGAGGAGGAGGCTTGATCCGAGACCATAGTGGAGCACTCATCAATGTCTTCCACACGTCCCTTCATGCCTCCTCGAGCTACGACGCAGAGATTCAGGCATTACAGATTGACCTTCAAATTGCTGCCCACCTCTCTAGTCATATTTGGATCGAGCTGGACGCTGCGACTGTCGTCACCATCCTGACCTCGGGCCACCAGGGCTCGTGGCAGATTCAGCACCCGCTTATGCGCATTAAAGCTCTTCTGCGGTCTGTCCATCACAGGATTACGCACATTTTTCGTGAGGGGAACAAACCTGCTGACTACCTTGCCAGCCTTGGCGCCACCACACCAGACCTACATACATTTCAGACCGACATTGCTCCACTCCGCCTTCGCACGCTTGTACGGATGGACTAGCTTGGATACCCATCTTTCCGCTTTTAGTAGATACATTTTTGTTCTCATTAGATGAGACATTTATTCCGGGCACCTGTTAGTCCGATGACAGACCTTGTATTATTTCTTTTTACTGCTTTTCGTTTTTGTTGTCTGTGAGACTATGTTGACTTTAGTTGTTTGATATTTTGGGCTCGTTTTGGGGTCTTGATCTATGTACAGGTTGGGGATCCAGCCTAATCCCCCGCCACTCGGGGCATTGTTTGAAAAAAAAAACTAGCAACTAGAGAGAACTAACCTAGCAACTAGAGAGAACTAACCTAACGACTATAGAGAACTAACCTAGCAACTACATACAACTAACGTGCGAGGGGGATCACTTTCCCCTCCCGGTGTGTGTGTTGTTCTGAGACCGGACGTCATGAGACCGAGACCTTTACCCACCCTTTTCTAGAGAGTGAGATTGTGAGGAGAGTGTGGGAGCACTTTGCCACTTGGACCCATATATCCCTACCCTCCACTGACAGTTTCTTTGAGCTCCTGAGTTTTTTCTCACAGAGCACACACCTTAGACACGTGGGCTTCCTCATTCCTTGTCTGATCCTTTGGTTCATCTGGACGAAAACGAATAGTGCGAAGCATAGGGATATTACTTTTTTGCTTTATCACATTGTTTTGCAGTTAGAGAGACATCTTTCACTCCTCACAGCATTGGGCAGGCTCACCGCTAGAGACTGGACAGGCTGCACGCCACCACACCGATACATGGTGCCCCCCCATCGCTTGTTCGGCCCCCTCGGCCCAGAGCTGTTGTTTGGCTTCGACCTGATTCTCCTTGGGTCAAGCTGAACACTGATGGTTCTTTTGATCGCCATACCAACATTGCCGGAGGAGGAGGATTGATTCGTGATCACAGTGGAGCACTCATCACCGCCTTCCACACGTCCCTTCATGCCTCCTCGAGCTACGACGCAGAGATTCAGGCATTACAGACTGGCCTTCAAATTGCTGCCCGCCTCTCTAGTCATATTTGGATCGAGCTGGACGCTGCGACTGTCGTCACCATCCTGACCTCGGGCCACCAGGGCTCGTGGCAGATTCAGCACCCGCTTATGCGCATTAGAGCTCTTCTGCGGTCTGTCCTTCACAGGATTACGCACATTTTCCGTGAGGGGAACAAACCTGCTGACTACCTTGCCAGCCTTGGCGCCACCACACCTGACCTACACACGTTTCAAACCGACACTGCTCCACTCCGCCTTCGGACGCTGGTACGAATGGACCAGCTTGGATACCCATCTTTCTGTTTTTAGTAGATTAGAATTTTGTTCTCCTTGGATCATACATTTATTCCGGGCACCTGTTAGCCCAATGACAGACCTTGTATTATTTCCTTTTTCTGTTGTCGTTTCTGTTTTGACTGTGAGAATATGTTGACTGTAGTTGTTTGATATATTGGGCCCGTTTTGGGGTCTTGATCTATGTACAGTTTGGGGATCCAGCTAAATCCCTCGCCTTTCGGGGCATTTTTTTTTTTTTAAAAAAAGAATAAATAAACAAAATCTGGCAACTACAAAGAATTAACTTAGCAACTACAGAGAACTAACCTAGCAACTACAGAGAACTAACCTAGATGGAAGGTTAGTTGTCAACGGTCAACGCCGGAGTCAACGTCAAAAGTCAATGGTCAATGCCGAAAGTCAATGAATTTCGTCGGAAGTCAACGTCGGAAGTCAACGGTCAACGTCGGAGTTAACGTGTCAAAATAATATTTAAATAATTAAAATAATAAAAAAAAGATAAAAATCTTGGCTACATTATGTACCAAATCTTGTGGCTAAAAACTAGCCTCACGTGCTCGCTTTAAGAATGTGGATGCATTGGAACCAATCTATATATATATAGATTATATATAGAGAGAGAGAGATTAGAATGATACATACAAGTCCAATTTGATGACTATGGGATCGTACAATATGAAAACCAAAGTTATAGTAGGAATACAAACACAAAATTGGTTAATTTTAGAAAACAGACCCTTTAGAGCATGCTTGGATACAAAATTATTTCAAAAAAATTCAAACATTTTTAACTCAACCCACTATCATCTATATTATCAAAATAATTAAATAATATCAAATCAATCATTCTTACACACCACATCACCTTAATTTACTATTCATCTATTCACATAATTTTAACTAACCATCACTTTAAATCTCCTCTCTCTTACTTTACATCAAATCAACTTTAATCATTTAATTTTAAATATTATTTTAATATATCCACTAACAACAAATCATACCAACTTTTTCAAAACTAACCAAACCAAACAAAAAAATCCAAACAAAACAAAAATTTTTTATATCCAATCATCCTCTTAATATTACGACTCTCGGTTTCATTTTATGATAATGCAAACACCTCCATTTAAACTATATGCATTTATTTTACATAGAATATTTGGACATTGATAATTTTTTATTTTTAAAAAAATCTATATAAGAAAAAATCTACATAATGCTACAAGTACATAATAAATGTACATAGAGGTGTAAATAACACTCACATGAAATAGAGTTCACTTAATTTTTTATTTCAGATAGGACCTACTTAATATTAGTGTTATATACATATCTATGTATAATAATATGTACCTATAACATTTCTCAAAAATCTAAAAGTGAACAAGCAACCTTGAACCGTAGAGTTCTTGATTTAGCGACTTAGCGTTGACCATACAAAATAAAATGTCCGAACTCCTCCAAAAATCTTAAACAAAATAGGAACATTTTGACCCTCATTCAAAGGAAATAGAATCCATTCTCTTCCTCTCTTTTTAAATTGAACCAAATATTAGTGCCACAAACTAGAAAGTCTCCTCCACAAAAATAGGAAAACCCTTCAAATCACCAAAGAATCCTTGACCCAAAACTAAAATGCCGGTACATTAACAACCTTTTTGTTGTCTCATACAAAAAAGGCAGTCACAAAGTCTGGTGTCCTTTTTAGTAGTTGAGACATACAAATAAATGGATGTTTGGCCGGAATTTCTGAGGATCAGTTGGGGTCGGGAGTTTTTGGCCGGCAGCATTGGCGGCACCGCCGGTGTCCTGACGGGTTATCCACTCGACACATTGAGAATATGGCAACAACACTCGAGCAAAGAATCGGCATTTGCTATACTACACCATGAGGGACCGTTCGCACTTTTTTGTGGCATGTTTGCTCCCCTCGCTTCAATCTCCTTTCAGGTACATATCTCAATTTGAAAAATCGCCTATTGAATAACAAAATTTGATCTCCCATTGATTATGCTCAAAGTTATGAAAGATCTGAAAATGAGAAGTTGATCATGATTATTATAATGAATAAAATCGAACAAATTATTGCAAGTTCGTGTGAATAATAAATTGTGATTCATATGTAAATAAAATATATAGTTTATATTCATATTGTTCCATTTTGTTAGTATTAAAATTAGATATGCCATAGTCTAGGTTTTATAAAGTTTTAATATTATATACATAATATGTAAATATTGCATATGTACACGTGCACGAGATGAATTACTAAATAACAAAAGATACAAAGTCCAAATTCTTGTTTCTTCATTAGTTGTTTTACGATATACCTTTGCAGAACGCTATTGTTTTCCAATCTTACGCTACTTTGTCGCGAGCATTCGACACGAACATCACAACAGTCGAACCACCGTCGTACAAAGGAGTTGCGCTCGGAGGAATAGGAGCGGGAGCCATACAAAGTCTGGTCATAACCCCAATCGAGCTAATCAAAATTCGCCTACAATTGCAAAGAAAAACCGAGAACAATATCAACCAATCGGGTCTACTAGACGTAACACGAAACATACTTAAAAAACAAGGTTGGAGAGGAATGTACCACGGACTATGCATTACATTACTCAGAGACACACCGTCTCACGGTGTATATTTTTGGACATACGAGTTTGCGCGAGAACAAATCCATCCAGGATGTAGGAAAAACGGACAAGAATCGTTCGCGACTATGCTTTTTTCGGGCGGTCTTGCGGGAGTTACAAGTTGGATTAGTTGTTATCCTTTTGATGTGCTCAAGACAAGAATTCAAGCACAATCGAAATATTGTGGGGTATTTGATTCATTTAAAAGATGTGTCGAGCAAGATGGATATTGTGTGTTGTGGAGAGGTATATGGATGACACTTTCTAGGGCCTTCATCGTGAATGGTGCAGTTTTTATGTCCTATGAGGGAGCTATGAGATTCATATCCAACAACAACGATGATATATAATGCAAGAATTCAAAGTGGGGATACTTTGAGTGTTGGCGGATAGAATTAACAACACATTTTGGACCTAAGTTCTTTGGATGTGGTTTGAATTCATTGAATATAGTGCACTAGATTTGATAAATGATGATCAAATAGAGTTTTAGGTTGGATTTTGAGTTTACGGTTGCAGATGAATTAAAATTTAGCGATTAAAGTTGATAGTGATGTAAAAGTAGGATTATAGGGATTGTAGTAGATTGTTAGTTAAAAATAAGTAAGTAGATTAATAATAAAGTTTGGTGGACGTGATGTGCGAGGATGATTCATTAATATTTTTTTTTTTTTTAATATTGAGAATCATTAAATTGATTTAGATTTTAATTGGATGTTTGAGTTAAAATTTTGAATTTAAGTTTGTTTGGTAAATTTAAAATTGATTTAATTATTGGTTAAATTCGAATCTATATTTATATATCTATATTAAAAGCCAACATATTTACCAAAAACAGTAGCAAGAAAAGTCAACACACATTTAATGTATACTTTATTTGAAATTTTTTTACTATATGCATTAAATGCTTGCATATTTACATTTACTATCCAAATATTATCTTAAAGATTTTTTTTAAAATAATTTATGCAATGATTTTACTGATATCCATTATAATTAATATTTGTCGAGTAATATTTTTTAACCTTCATTTAATTATATAACACTAACATTTTTTTTAAAAATTAATATTACTTATTATTTAAAAAATAATGATCACATCATTAAATGATTTTATTGATGGTTATAATAAAATTATATTAATTATTCTTTAAAATTTCGACATGTTATTTATTTATTATTGTAAACTATGATTGTGTTTTTATCACTTTTTTTTTTATTATGTTTCAAAAATGAACTTATTGTAAAATATTTTTATATTTCATAGTATGTTAAATAACTATAAAGCCTTAGGATGAAAATTAAAAAAAAAAAAAATCTCTTGATTATGTAAGGGATTTATTTTTTGGCAATTGCTAAATTATTTTTTTTTTTAAAAAAAAGAATTATTATGAGAAAATTCAATTCTAAAAAACATGTGTGTGTATTTTGTAAACATTTATACTCAAAATTTTATTTTGAATTTCATTACATAAAGAAGACTACTTCTATAATTTTTATAAATAATAATCTATACTTATATTAAAAGCTATACCATTTACTAAATGTAGTATGTAGAATAGTCAATCCTAATTAATGATTTGCTATTTTTATCAAGTATTTAATTAATGCATCTAATATTTTTGGTATGCAAATCAAATTAGCATTTAATTAGTTCGTAAAATATTGGGTATGCAATATTAATTTATGAATATCCATGTAGTTCCTAAAAAGTTGATATGCAAGTAAAAGAATTTTTTTTTTAATTTTTTTTTAAATATAAAATATTGCAACACGTAAAACTATTTCAGTTATTTTTTATTTTGTTTTACATATAAAATCTAATCAATATTTAATGCATCCTACAAAATTGGATGGAAATAAAAAAGTACGTAAAATCTTTACTAAAATAAAAAAGGCTTTATTTATTATTTAATTTATTATCTAATTGTATGGAAATTTGTTCTGATTTTATGGTACGTACTACAAATTGTGCACCCGTGTTCAGGAGCTACTTAACGAGCAAGCTATGTGGAAATAACTCATTTAGTGCTTCAATCACGTGCATACAGTATGTATTTGTATTACACATACTAGAAAATTGTGCACCCCGTGCATCGCACGAACTCTGTACTAATAAATGACCTTAAAGTTGTGCACCCTGTGCATCATCTGTGTTCACATTTTGGCCTATTACATGTCACATACTATATATATCTCGTATATTTTTCTTTATTCATTTATATAATTATAAGACTTGATAAATGATTTTTGTGTACCCCGTGCATCGCACGGGATCTGTACTAGTAATTACATTATATGACTGTAAATTTTATAATAAAATAATAATTGAGTATTATATTGTGAACAATAATTAATAAAATTTTTATTTTTTCTTATATCAATGAATAAATATGTATTCTAAAATCAAATAAATATTAGTATGACGTGTTAGCGGAATCTATACTTATATAATAAGGTATCCTATTTACCAAATTTAGTAAGTTAAAAAGTCAACGTAATTAATGCATTGTTATTTCTATTCAGAATTTTATTTAATTATTTTATTTATTTGTCTTATATCCCATAAAATCAGTTTAAGAAAAAAAATCTTATAACATCTGATAAATAAAAAAAAGGACATAAAATTTTAACTAAAATAAAAAAAGGCTTTATTTATTTGTCTTATTCCATATTAATATTGATTTTGTCAAAACAAATCCCATAAAATCGGTGAAGTCAAAATTTGTACGTAAAGTCTATCTATACTAAAAAAAAGCAGATTCAAAATTCCTTATTTAATTCTTTTTTTTTTCTTATTTAATTCCTTCTTATTATCTAATTGTATGGAAATCTATTATGATTTTGTTTAATTTTCTAATTGTATTTGTATTATATCCCATAAAATCGGTTTAACAAAAAAAATTCCATAACACCCGATAAGTAAAAAAAAGTACGTAAAATCTTTACTAAAATTAAAAAAGCTTTATTTATTGTCTAATTGTATAGAAATCAGTTCTCGTTTTGTTCAAACTGATTTCTGTATATTCAAATTCAGATTTTTCTAATAAAAATATTAACAACAATATATATCTACTCTACCCATTATAAATTACAAATCTCAAAATATCGAGCCATCATCTTCCACACTATCAACCTCCTGCGAGCAAAAAATATCTCCAACCAGTCTTTTATTCAAAACAATGAATCAAGGATTTGTGTTAATCAAACAAGTCAATAGGTCTAATAGACCTATGTCAAAGTTCGAATTGTGAGAATGTTTTTCGAAGACTGGGGCATCACATACAAATCATATCTCGAGTTGGTTATGCATGATAAAACTGCAAGCCAAATTATTTGAATTTTTGTTTTAATTTCGAAATTTGAAACGTATATTTTATGTTTTATTTTTTATTTTCGTCTATGTATTTAGACATTTTTGTACATGTTTAGTGAAATATATTTTCGATTTTTTTTTAATTATATTTCAGATTTGCAATTTGGTTTATTTATTCCACATATCGTGTATGTATTAGATATTTACATTATTTTTTGTGTATTGTAAAACTTTTATTGAATATTGCATCTTATAGTATAATAATCCCCAAATAAATATATCCCGTGTCTCGCACAGGTCACATATTATATATTCCGTATATTTTTTTTATTCATTTATATAATTATAAGGGTGGATAAATGACCTTAAAATTGTGTACCTCGTGCATCACACGGGCTCTGTACTAGTTGAATTTATGATCGGTCCACCGGAGTACATTGTGAAGATAAGAATATTTGAATGTTTTAAGTGACAAAAGGCAATCCAAACACAAAACAAGCACCATGTTGTATACAATTGCACCACTAACATTAAAAATTAAAAAAAATAAAAAAAAAAATCGTTTTTTTTTAATGTATACAATTGCAGCATTTTTTTTTTTTTTTTTTTTTTTTTTTTTGGTACAGGGACCTTCCGGTTTCCGGATCCACAGGGGAACCGACTAATCCGGAATCGAAGCGGGTAGGACCACAAGGACGGCAAAATTCTTCCTCAAGAGTTTTAACACTGCTGCATTATACAATTGCAACATTAACTTTGCATTACAATCTCCTAAAAAAAAACATGTTACTAATGTACATTAAGAATATATAGATATTTTTTCCAAATAAAACGCTTTTTTCTGATTTTTTTTTACAGAATTTGTGATCCAAAAAAAAAAAACTACTATCAAATATCAAATCATTGTAATTTAACATAAATAAATAATATTACCAAATTAATTAAATAGATCCAAAAAATACACCATATGTTGTCTTTTTTAACAATATTTTCAAAAAAAAAAAAAATTCAATTAACTCTATAAATCATATAAATCATATAAAAACTCTATAAATTACTAACTCTATAAATTACTAACTCTATAAAAAAAATTACTAACTCTATAAATTGACAAATAAATCATATAAAAACTCACAAGCACGATATTTTTTTATTTTCTTATTTTTTGACAATTACAATACTTTCATGATGAACTGCGTATTTGGTTTGCCAAAACAAGTCTCATGAACCGAAGAGTCATGCTTGATATTGCAGGTAATTTTAATAATTGTTGAAGTTACAAACTATATGGAAATCCTATTTCATAAAGAGGAGGTGCTTTTCATTTTTGTGTTTTGCAATTTGTATTCTTATCTTGATAATACAAATACTAAATTAATATTAATATTAATATATTTTATGTTTTACAATTTGTGTTCACATTTATATAATACTAATATTAATAATATTAATATTAATTTAATTTTATATTTTTCAATTCGTGGTCTTATATCGATAATACTAATATTAATAGTAGTATTCAAAATTTAATATAACCCATAATTAGGTTGCATCTACCGCATTAACACATACGAAGTTGAAGCGAATGTTGGCTCATTTCGGCTCGCAATTGCTAAATACAAAATTGAATGTTACTTCACCAAAATAATCGTGATGTGGATAATAATTTTGTATTCAATTGAGTGTTAAAATGAGCAGCGAATTGGGGACAACGATGGGCGGAGGCACAGAACAACGATTTGGGGACAGCCGACGAGTAGGCACGGAGCAGAGATTTGGGAACGAGAGCAAGACAAGAGGAAAGGCTGGTTTTGTAGATTTTTAGAATTATTTACTCACTAGTACAACGCCCGTGTATTACAGGGTGTGTGCTAATTTTTTTTCTTAAAATATAAAATTAATGAGAAAAATAGTTGAAAATCTAAATACCTTTTAAAAAAAATATACATATTATTATATAGGTAGTATGACACTACATGTGTTATACTGTAATAATTTTTTTAACACAATTGAGAAATAATTTTATTTTTCTAA